CACCATCATCATCACCACTATTATCACCATCACTATCATCACCACTATCATCATCACCACCATCACCACTACAAGCACCTCTTATCTCTGAGCATCATGACCACAACATCCTGATGGAGGTTATCAATGGCTAGGTCAAGGGCGGAGTTGTTGTAGGTGTTGGTCAGACTGACGTCCGCCTTCTTCTCTAGGAGTAGCTGTACCGCTTCCACGTGACCGTTCGAACATGCGTAGTGCAAGGCCGTGTTCTGTCCCGTGTTGTTTTTATTTGTTGTTGTTATTATTGTTGTTGTTGTTGTTTTTGTTGTTGCTGTAGTAGTAGTAGTTGTTGTTGTTGTTGTTGTTGGTGTGGTTGTTGTGTTGTTGTTGTGTTGTTGTTGTGTTGTTGTGTTGTTGTGGTTGTTGTTATTGTTGTAGTTGTAGTTGTTGTTGTTGTCGTTGTTATTGTTTCTGTTGTTGTTTTTATTGCCAACAACGAAGAACATTCGTGAAGTCCTTGTTGAATATCACCACATTTCAACCATTACAAAGTGTTAAACATCGGATTTTGTGGAGGTCGATGGTCGCCAATGTCCTGAAAAGATAAGGCACGAGAAAGAAGAAGAGGAAGAAGAGGAGGAGGAGGAATAACAACAGTCTACACAGCTGATGCTAAAAAAACATTCAAGACATTCCTTATGTTTCAGAAGGACAGCGTTGCAAAGGCTGCACGTGGCAGGTTGGGATCTCTGTGCAATTGAAGTCGGTAGCTGCAGGATCGCTGTCGGCACTTTAACCATTAGCTACATCGCTGCTCGCCCCCATAGTAATTATCATTTCTATTATTATACAATTTTTTGAAGTTATTATTATTAAAAATTTTCTGGCTTAGCATTATTATCGAGAGTGTTAAATTTGAATTTGTTGCAGAAGATTCTGGCGGGAAATTATTTCTTCTTAAATGTACGAATAAAATGATTGAAACAACCATAAATATAACCACAGACTTTATATGCCATTGTTATCATCAACATCATCATCATCATCGTTATCATCATTATTATCATCATCAACATCATCATCATCATCATCATCATCATCATCACTATCGTCCTCATCATCATCATCATCCTCATCGTCATCATCACTATCACCACCATCGTCATCATCA